ATTAATAAAAACTTCCTCATAATAAATGATTTTATTTACTCACCACAAGATAGTTACCTGGCGATTCAGTGGGTTCGGTTTTTTTTACCAACATTCGATTAATAAAAACTTCCTCATAATAAATGATTTTATTTACTCACCACAACATAGTTACCTGGCGATTCAGTGGGATCGTTTTTTTTTTACCAACATTCGATGTCTGACTGGTAGCAAGTAATTCCTGTACATTTCGTAGAACGCACAATTTGTGAATAAATAGCCTAACAGAATGTGAATTGTTTATATATTTTCTCTATAATCAAAGGATTTTAACGTGAGAAATAAACAAAATAAAATTGATTAATTATCATAATTAGAAATTACAACTTTAGTTATAGAAAAGGATAAAAAAGTACATTACATTTTGCACTGATAAGAACTATTATTTCAGGAACGAACCCTATGCAAATTGTAACAGATTTTGCTAAGCGTTGTTTGATTAACTGCTGAAGTTGACAACGCTATCAAAGAATACATATTTGTTAAACTATTTTTGTTGATCAACAAATGCACACAGCAGTTACTTGGATGTGTGTTAAGAAAATCGCACAATAAAACTTTTTTTTAATAAAAAGGCTAAAATCTCCTTCATATTTGTAAATACTTTGATTTATTGATTGCAAGAAATGACTGGAAGCTTGTACGTAGTTATTTTTCTAAATGGCGCCAGTCTTATATGATTTTATTTCGTAGTTTTTGGAATGTCCTTATGTAGACATTCCTTTATTTTACAGAAAAGTGCAAGTATACATGATGATAAATTGAGGTAGGAACACACAGCTAATAGTATTAACGTACAGAGTTCGGGAAAATAGTGCTGATCAAATATTACTCATCATTTTGTTCCTCAAACATTATTTGACCTTGATTAATATCATATATTGAGACTCATCAGAGTCTTCTGTAAACATATTAGTAAATGTTTCAGCAAGGTTACCGAGCGTAACGTATCCCACTTTCCCCTTGTGTTGTGTTACTGTTTATCAAACGTCATTGTAGAGTTCTAACATAAACACATGATATTATGTAATTCCGTGTAAAGGGCATTCATTGGTTACTGGAACAGCTCGGCAGATCTGATGAATTATAAATGCTGTGTAGTCAATCAAGAACATCACAGAAAAGTTAGTTTCTCTGAAAAGAACAATTAGCTTTCAATAGATCGATTTTCTCCACTATGTCGAAAGTTCCGTATCGATGGGTAAAAAGATTTAAAGTAAAGAATCAAGCTGTCCGTGAGTTCCTGGCAGAATTTTTCGGCACTTTTATACTGATTGTAGGTATTAAATAACATATATTTTGGGTTAAGAACTATTTATATAAAAACTGAGGTAGTGCGAAATGAAAGAGTATTAATATAACTTTAATTTTCCGTGTTGCTTTATAACTCAATTTAGTTTTAAAATAATCAAAACCAAATTAGTTGAAAACTTAAAAATATTTCGTCTTACATTATAATGTTTCTTTATCTTTTACTCTAGCTTTTATGCTTTTCCTATTCAAAACCTACTATATCAGTTTACTGTTAGCATAACGAATTTGAGAAACAGAAACTGATGAAATTATCTTAATATATGGTTTGAATATGAAACGTTCTATATAAGTTGTAAGCATATATTTAACAAAATGATTCTTATCATGAGGTGAATCGAAGATCGTAATTCTATAATGAGGGATTGTAATAAATATCAGAATAATTAGGGTTACGCGGGTCAAAGGCAAGTTTCCATACTTACAATGCAATAATCCAAAGTTCGATTCTCCGCGGTGGACAAAGCGTAGATCGTGTAATTTTCCCACCCCTCAAAAAAAGAGAGGATTACTAACTGGTGAAAGTACAACATTGAGACTGAAGCTGATCTTTTCTTGTTTTGTTGTTGTTGTTGTTTTTTAACTTAGCAAAACAGAATAACTAGTAGCTTGCATTCTCAAGCCCCTCAGTGGCACCAGCACGGATAGCTTGACAACAAACAAACAAAGTTTATTATCTATAATATCTACATGGGATTCTATGTAATGTAAGAAAAAGGATTAAATCCAGTAGCTTTCATTCTCAAGCCCCTCAGTGGCACCAACACGGATAATTAACAACAAACAAACAAAGTTTATTATCTATAATATCTACATGGGATTCTATGTAATGTAAGAAAAAGGATTAAATCCAAAGTTGAATCATAGCGGTAAGTCCCGTGGCTTATAACACTAAAAACTGGGTTTCGATACGCGTGGTGGGCACAGCACAGATAGCCCATTGTGTAGCTTTGTGCTTAATTACAAACAAAGAAAAGCAGAATCGAAAATAAAGAAAGTTGTGATTTTTTTTTGTTCAAAGTTCTTGAAGGATATACAGAGCGTAAATATAATTTATGATATGGCAAAAAATAGTATCAACAAAAACGACATGTATTTTTTATATTCCTTATTTTCTATTTGCACACGAATGTTAGACTTGAAATTTATTTTTATCGTGATTTAAAATTATATTCTGCATTGTGGCATTTCCATATTTTGCGGTGCCTTAGTGCTATGCGTTCACTTTCACAATGAGTAAATACATTTCCAGCATTGATCCATTTATGCTATTATCCTTAAATGAAATTATAGCTAATAGTAAAACACACAAATATTGATGTAATTAGTTGTATAGCAAATGTATATGAATCTACCTAAGAAAATAAATTAGAATTGAATTGATTTTTCTGTAAATGATTACCACCAATCTTATTCATGGAGTATACAGGTGTCTTCTATCACGTATATTGTTTGATTAATTGGAAAGTAAAGAAAACTAATCGATAGAATGATCACTAAGAAACTTTCTGTTTTCATACGAAAACTAGAAAACGAATCTCATTAATAAAAATATCATTGTCCAAAAATTGCTTTACTGTTAAAGTTTTTTTCATAACGTTATGCGAAAGTATTACTAATTTTGACAGGAAACAAAGGAAAAAAGAATCTATTAAACTTGGATATGATGTTCTTTACACAGACGGAATCATTTTTTATACGTTCTTAGAAATGAACACTGTCTCAACGAGTAAAAAAAAAAGTAAAACTAATCCAAACATATTCTATGTAACAAAACATGATAAACACTATACTCGGCAACGCTATGTGAAATTAGGCTTTAGTCTAAGCTATTAAAACACAAAAATACCATATTCTGCTCTAGATATTTCTTGGGTAAAACCATATTGTGTAACTTTGACTAACAATGGAGTTTGTAAGAATACCGCTTTATTGTGTTCTATGAAAGTTTCAACTAAGTAAAGTTTAATCGAAATAAATATTATATTTCCAGTGAGTCGTTTTTCTTGTTCGTTTCTTTTCAAATTGACGTTTGATTTTTATGTTTATGGTATTTTTGTTGCTTTACCGAAGCTTTTGTTTTGTGTATGGATTACAAGACATAGCTTACAATAATATTTTTGATCCTGGATTACAAGGCATAGCTTACAATAATATTTTTGATCCTGGATTACAAGGCATAGTTTACAATAATATTTTTGATCCTGGATTACAAGACATAGCTTACAATAATAGCTTACTCACAGCTCCATAATCACATAAGAAGAAACGGTTTTATAGAATTCTCTGTTTTACACATAGGTCAGCCCGCCAGTTTTAATACATGTGATGAGCACAGAACAGATAGTCTATTGTGTGGCTTAGCTTTGCACTTAGCAACGGACTAGCTAATAAGCCAAAGTATGTAAACAAATACATATATACAAATATATATATAACGAAATAATTATTTAACAGGAATTATGCGAATCGTAAGGACCGTTTTAAAACAATAACTTGTACATGTCAAAAAGAAGATCGTATCCTCCCCCCAATTTATTCTGTTAAACTGTGAAACATAAGTAGTATATAAATGCGACAGTGTGCTTTGATCTTTAAAATAATTTTTTTAAGGTTTTGATTGCTATAACTATTTTCTGATTACCTTAATGCGTTAGGTAACGGCCCGGCATGGCCAGGTGGTTAAGGCACTCGACTCGCAATCTGAGGGTCGCGGGTTCGAATCCCTCTCACACCAAACATGCTCGCCCTTTCAGCTGTGGGGGCGTTATAATGTGACGGTCAATCTCACTATTCCTT